CAATTCAAATCCAAGACCTAATACTGCTTATAGGACTAGAATTACATTAAAAAAAAATTCCTCATGCTGTATTACAAAATGGATTGGAAGCTTCTAAGCTGGCCAATAATGGCACAAGTCTTTCCTGAATTTTTTTGGGGGGGCACAGGACATATCTCATTTTTACATCTTACCATTTCATTTGCAGTTTCTGCCACTGTGGCTGATTATCAGCACCTCCTTGTGCTCAGTTGCTCTCACGCACTACTCATTTATAATCACGCCTCTCCAAGTGCCCGGTGTACATCTGCTCAGTCCTTTTGTAGCCTTCTCATCTGCTGCAGGGTCACGTTTAGCAAGCCATTCAGTTGGCTGTTATTTCAAATGCAAGCACTTGTTTGCTTATTTCTCCTGCCTTTGCCCTTGCCACTCTCTCTCCCCTCCTCCTCCTATCACATACAGACAACTACAGCCTTGGCTGGGGAGCCAACAGACAGTAACACAGGTTTACAGCAACAGAAAAGAAACAAGAAGACAAAAGGTGACGGCAAATCTCATCATGGCATCGGCCGCTCTCCAGTTTTTTGCTTTCGTCCTAGCCTTGTTTGGTGTTTTTGGTGCGATCGCAGCCACTCTGTTGCCCAACTGGAAGGTGAATGCAGACACGGGCTCAAACATAATCACGGCCATCACTCAGATGCAAGGGCTCTGGATGGACTGCACATGGTACAGCACTGGGATGTTCAGCTGCACGCTGAAATATTCAATCCTGTCTCTCCCTGTTTACATCCAGGCAGCAAGGACCACCATGATTCTGTCCTGCATCTTCTCCATTTTTGGGATCTGCATTGCCACAGTGGGGATGAAGTGCACCCTCCTGGGAGGGGACAGAGAGACCAAAAACCACACGTCAGTTGCCGGAGGAGTCTTCTTTATTTTGGCAGGAATATCTGGCTTGATACCAACAGCCTGGTACACGAACGAGATTATTTCAAAATTTCTGGACCCAACTATTCCAGAAAGCAGTAAGCATGAACCAGGAGGAGCAGTTTACATTGGATTTATTTCAGCTGGACTTCTGCTTGCTGCAGGTGCCATCTTTGGCACTTCCTGTTTTAAGAAACAGCAGAGAGCAGAGATTTATTCTAACAAGCAGCAGAATCTGCACCCAGCTGCCCGGCAAGTGGACACAGGCTACAGCCTGAAGGACTATGTGTAAATATGGTGGTGGACCTGTTGTCCTCCAAAGTTGTTTATGTAGTCTTGATTTTATAACAATGCGGTTGATGCAAGCCTTATAATTGCATTGGGTGAGGTGTTTATTTATTAAAAAAAGAAAAAGATGCTAAGAATTTAAAACCACTAACCATTTATTACTGATACTGCTTTGCAACTGGATTATACTGAGAATGGGGTGGGGTGGGATAGAAATATAAATCAGTTACAATAGTTTGTACTTGTCACATGCCACCTTTAGTATCTTATTTGAATAATGGCACCAGCTGAACTGATTCTGCCTTACTGGGAATTTCTGTGTGTTGTTTTTAAATGTTATCTGCATTTCTCAAGTCAGGTTTCAATGACTATGATAAACGATATATATCTCAAGATTTCTTTTAAAGAATAACCGTTATCCCGACATATTTGAGGATTAGCTGCCCCCAGACACTATGCCCCACAATAACCTGCTCTCATTCTGTTTTCTTTGGAAAATGCCTACTTAATATTTTGCCTTTAATTTTAATTGTCAAACACAACAGGACTACAAGACGTACCTGACAGGATATTTTTTTAAAAATCCTTTTTTTTCCAAAGCTTGATTTCTAGCAGTCTTAAATAAAATACAACATAATTAAGTAAACTCTTTCAGTTGTCAGTAACTAGTGAATACTTCAGCAGTATTTAAAGCTGTATGTCATCTAGCTATTATCTATAATTTATGCAAACTATTTTCAAAGCAATCTTCAATCAGATTCCAAAGATTTTGGCTATTTGCCACTCAGAGATTAAGCAGGCAATAGTAAATTGTTTTATAATTATTTTGCCAGCAATAGCCTTTCTTTGAATCTTTTTCTTGTGTCCATCTGCAAAAACAATGATCGGTCACAAAGTAACCACTCATTTCCATTCAAGAGGAGAGATAAAATTTGAACACGTTGGTATATAGCACAATGTAAAGAACCAAGTTTGAATCAGCTTGAAATATAATTTGAACTACCTGTAGATTTCTATAATTCATAATTTCTAGTGACAGCAACATTAAATCACTCCACCAAAAGACCAGTTTTTTGTTTCTTATATAAGAATTACAGTATGAATTTTTAGTTAGAAAAATAAAAGGATGTGTAGAGGCTTCTAAAATTATACATAATGTGACAAAAAATGGAAATGTAACTTTTGCCCCTATCAAAAAACCAGAATCATGGTTTGTTTGTTTTTTAATTAAGAAATTTTCCCATAGAACAAAACACAAATCAAAAAGAAAAAAGTGCAAAAAATAAAAGAGGAATTAAAGTTAATAAAATTATAAGTGACTTCAGACCTTGTTTTCAATAATTAATTGCAATCTTATTATCCCTCCTCCCTGAAGTCCTGTCAGTCCCTCATTTAATCCATATCTTTAATAATTGTCAAATCTATAAGACATTATGTTTTTTTCCCCTCAGAGTCACAAGTCATATAGCAAAGCTGAAAAGTGGGGAAAGGGGGCTGGGGATAAATATTTGGGATACATAAAACACACCGCTAAATGTTAAAGATTACTAACAAAAGATGTAATGGTAAACTGTTTTTTTAAAAAGACACATCAACTGCAAGGGACAGTAAGGTGGTATTAGTAGCCATGAGAGTTACCCATTACCTCTAGTAACAGAGGCAATAAACCTTTCCGTGTGGTTAGAGAGCCAGTGAGTTCTGCCACTACCTTATCTGTGAAATCTGAACAAAGATTCTGATTACTTCATAAAACATTGTAAAGTGTAAAACACAAACTCAAAATATAACACCTATTTTGGTTAGTGTAGCATTTCAGTTTGCAAAACATTATTATGTATAGTTTATTAATACACACACACACACACACACACAACCTTTCTCCCTAAAGGGGCATTTTTAAGATAAGTACTGTATATAAATGCTGATTCATTTTTATCACAAACATTTGCTTGTGGTAATTCTGAGACATATGCAGAAGTAACTTTAAGTACATTTAAAACAAAAACAAAACCTCAACTTTGAAGAGAAGCAGCCCTAAGCTAGTATAAACCAATATAAGTGCAATTCAACAATGAATATTAAGATGTTATTATTTTCATGATATAAGACCCGAATAAGTTGTAATAGATTGGTAGAGGACATACTGGAAGCTAAAAGTGATGAACAACCTGGGAGCAACTTTACCAATATACCATCTTGGAAATAAGTGTTTCACTATAGCAACTGTTTCAAAAAAGGCCCCAAGATGGCCATTTGTAAAAGTACCCATGAAAAACTATCTTAATTCTCAAAATATTTTGTCAAAGTCAGACAAATTTCAAGAAAAAAGACACCAGCAAGATCAAAACAAAATAAATACTGCTTGCATAGAAATAGAGAAGAGTAACAGATCTTAAGAAAAAAGAGTATTCTCTCTGCAGACATACTGTATATTACTACCACCAATTTAACATGAAAAGAGCAATAAAAAACAGAACAGATAACAGTATTTATAGGTACTACAAGATCATAAAAATCATAGCACAAGATCATATCACACTCTCCTCCTGTGCAAAGAGAAATAGGTAACTGTTACACTTTGCCTAAAACCAAGAAGGAACAATGCTGGCCAAATTTCTGATAGGAGGGTGTTTCATAGAGTAGGAGTAATTACTGAAAATACCCACTTCGGAGTGCACACTAGATGCCCATCTCACAGAGGTAGGACCTGGAAGGAGTCAACCTTATTTGATCTAGTTGGATGGGCAGACCCTTAGATAACTAAGTCTTGAGTTACATTGGGCCTTAAAGGTAACAATCAGAAGCAAGAATTATACTTGGAAATTGTCTAGCAACCAATGCAGCCACCAAAATAAGTTGATTCACCTGAAGATACTGGAATACAAACATTAGTGCCTAGTCCACTGCATTTTATACCTGCTGTAGCTTCTGAATGCTAATCATTAAGGGCAGTTCCAAGTTCTGGGAAGGTACTCAAATTGAGTGCATTTATTTCATTTTGACTTAATGTGAGATGAAAACCTAGCTACTACAGTATGCATTTATTCAATAAACCATGGCATAAACAAATTATGGCTTATGCATAAGAAGGACACAATTATCACCAGCAATTTCTAAATCACAATAAGGCAGCTAATAAAGAGGAGACATACGTAACAAATAATCACAATCTGTATTTTGGATATTAGAGGGAATATAATAGGACTGGGTTTTGGAACTAGTTCAGGAAAATCTCAAAAAACATTTCTTTTTGGAATAACATTTTACTTGAGTTGTTATTCTCAAAATCAGGACACAGCCACCTCTAAGGAAATCTTTCTCCACAAAGTGACACATCAAACCAAAACAGCAATTTCCCAGAAGTATGTCAACCTTTATTATTGCCACAAATGTGTGATTTCCTACAGACCATACAAATAATTTAACTAAGAGTTTGATGCTGCTTTGGGGTAGCCCTAGTTTCCCACTACTCAAGACCTCTTAAGAATTTTGACACATCTCTGGGGTACTTGGAATTTATCTGAACATTTTCTCACCTCTTACTTTTTCTCTTTTATTGATTTGCTTTCCTTTTGAACACTGCCTTTAAATCTTTCTCTCTCATCTTCACTAAAAAATTATGTTCCTCCCCACTTATAAATACCTTATTACTACATTTACTTTTCAGTTGTTTGAGTTAATCCAACAATCTTCTTGAATACTCGGTGAAATTAGAATATATCTGAGTCTTCATGCTAATGGCTTTGTGAATAGCTGAATGAAGCTTCAAACACTGATTTTAATGCAAAAAGAATGAACAGACTGACCTCTGGCTTTGGAACAAAAGCTTGACCTGGAATTGTGAAACCTTTGTTAACAGTGCACAGGTGCTGAGATATTATAGAAAGCCTGCTTCGCTGTCTGGATGTTGTACTAGCTGTGAGTCGCTGTGGAAGAAAAACATTTTTGTAAATGAGTGCCAGCATTTAATGTAAAACAACCAAATAAAAGTGCTCTTTAGAGTAGCCTGTTAACTAAAATACCAAATATTTTACAAATCTTTTCATGATTATCAATAATACAATCACACTTATTGCTATAACAATTAATAGGTCTAAATTATACTGACGCTAACATTTCTCATATAAATAAAACAAGCTTGAACTAAAAGAAAGCAAATACAATTTTGTTGTCATTATATTTCTATACTTTTTGGATTCAGACAAATCATAGTAACCTGAACACAGTATTTCAATAAATTCCTCAAATAGATTTGTTTGTATATTCCTGGAGCATTTGGAAACATATTCAAGAGGACATATCTCAAAGTGTATTTTAGAAAAATAAAAAAAATGTAAAAAGTGAAGAAAACATTTTAGTCCAATCTATAAATCAACATGTATGCTCCATTTTTTTTAACTGACAAATGCTCATAATAAAGCAAAGAAGTCCAGGAAGGATTATACTTTAACATACATTATGTTTTAGAATAGACACACTATTGTAGTCTCTATACCAGTGGTCCCCAACCTTTTTTATGCCGCGGCCCGGTACCGGCATCAGCTGGGTGCCACGGCCCGGTACCGGCATCAGCTGGGCACCGCCATCTTGTTTTGATGAAAAAGTGCTTCCGGTGAGCTTTCTACCCGGAAAAGCTCACCGGAAGCACTTTTTCATCAAAACAAGATGGCGGAGCCCAGCAAACCAGCGGCCCAGTAGGATTTGTTCCACAGACCGGTACCGGTCCGCGGACCGGTGGTTGGGGACCCCTGCTCTATACAACATGCAAATGTAGCTTCATTAATGCTATAATTCAATGGTCTATAACAGGGGTCGCCAACCTTTTGGACCTCAGGGACCACCAATCTCATAATTTTAGATCCCAGGGACCATTAACCGGTTCTGTTGGTGTGGCCTAATTTGTGGGTGTTGCTTGGTGCTCATGTGACTGGCTGGGCATGGCTTGTGTGTAAATATTATAAATACTTATATAAATATTGAATTTTTTATTAAAAAAGAGCAACTTTTACCCAAAATCAGGCAAAGCAGGCAGGCAGATTGTGTTGCTCACAGGAAAACAGATTCATTCAGAGATCTATCTATCTGCCATTGGCTAACTCAGTCTGTCACAAAATTTGCTTGCAAGCAAATTCACAACACACCATGCATGTAAATATTGAATTTTTTATAAAAAAGAGCAACTTTTACCCAAAATCAGGCAAAGCAGGCAGGCAGATTGAGTTGCTCACAGAATCATTCAGTGATCTATCTATCTGCCATCGGCTAGCTCAGTCTCTCAAATTTGCTTGCCGTGAGTCTGCACTGAATTTGCTTGCAAGCAAACCTTCAGTCCTAATGGAGGTTCAGCTGTGCTGAGCCGAAGATCTAAAGACTAGCTCGAAAGCAAGAAATCCAACCATTTCCTGCTTCCTACTAATCTAAATCTCCCGGCACAGCAGAACAGATGATGGTTGGAAAAAGAAAAAATAGCAATTTAGCAAGCAAGTTTACCAGGTAAGGAGTGGGTGGGGAGCGTTCCTGCGGGCCATGTGGGTGGCGCAGCCTTGTGTTTCTGCGCAGCCTGATTTAATTGCTTTGGGGGGGTGCTCTGGGGGTGAGATTTCTCTATGGCTCACCAAAATTTTCTCACGGACCACCGGTGGACCGCAGCCCACCAGTTGGCGACTGCTGGTCTATAAAGTATGTCCATTAGAAAATCCATGCATGGATATGTCAATACATGAACAATTTTATCTTTGTCTATGGAGATTCTCAGTCATCCAGGTCATGGTTGTCTCAAATATGCTTTTTTCAAGAGGCAACTGGACTTTCTGGTTTTTCTTTGAAGACGTTTCACTTCTCATCCAAGAAGCTTCTTCAGCTCTGACTGGATGATAGGAAATGGAAGGATTTATGCTCCTTGCAGACAGCTGGTCATTTGCATTCTTTTAGCAGGTCATTAAGGTCACCTGGAAGTTTATGTGTCATTAGGTTCACCTACGTGGTGCAAATTGGTGTGGAGCCTTCATGGAACTGTTGAAAGGACTGTGTTGTAGATTGGAGATAGATACGACAACATCTATCTTCCTATTCTTCAGAAATCCATATTAATGTTTGTTAATTATCATACTGTTTTAAAGATGTTTACCCACTGACAATTTTTTAATAATTTGCATTAAAAAACTTTCCACAAATTGACTGCTCAAATTGGCCTAAACTTTTCTAGATTCTCTTTTTCAGCTTTTTGAAGATATGCACGTTGTCTCTCCTTTAGTCATCAGGGATATGAGGCATTCTACAGAATTATTCGAACATAATGAGTAGATGTTCAAACACATCTGCAAATTGTTTTAATTCTCTATTGAATATAATTCATGCTATTCTAGCAATATGAACTTGTTCAAATGTAAAAAAAAGTCAGGTAATAGGAAACTCAAACTTCATTCCTGCTCTTCACTGGGGCCAAGTGAAACATTTCTTGTTGCAAAAGATGAAACAATTAAAGATTTGAATAGCTTTCCTTTTTCTGTTAATTTTGCCATCCTTATTAACCATCTGGGATATTGGTATTTTTAACTTCCTGATAGACTGAACATTTTGTTGTTCTGTGATTTTCTTTGCAACCTCAGTTCACTGTGGCCTTTAGCTTTCCTGACACCATGTCTACAATTCCCAGTTACTGTTAATGCTATAAAGTAGATCAGATTAATATACCAATGTCATATATGTCAAAGCTATTTTTATGGATCATCTATAATGACAGAACCTTGCAAGTCAGAATGTGCTCCCCCACCCCCTTATCTCCATGTGAACTAGGGAGGGGCTTTTCTCCAATTAGTTTCTTGGAATGGACTTGAGCTACAATTGTCTGAAGGGTGCTTTTCTTTCTGTCCTTCAAAACTATTTCCTATGTCTTCTACAGCTACAAATAGTTGTTGCTTAATGACAAGTCTACTGCTAGATGATGTGTTGTTAAGCAAGGAATCATATGATCATGACTTGCGATGTTACTACAGCTTCTCCATTGACTGTTAGAAACCAGCGGTGAAGCATTCAAATGGCAATCACATGACTGTGGGTCACTGACGGTCTTAAACGCCTACAAGTTGCGAAATGCCTGAATCTCAATCACATGCTGCAATGGCCATAAGTGCAGGGACCAGTCATAAAGTTACTTTTTTCAGCACTATTGTAACTTTGAATGGTCACTAAACATGGCAGTTTTTAAGCAAGAACTACCTCTACTTGATGGAATGTGATAACAACAAAAATAACAATAACACCAACAAGTCCAAGAAAGAAAAAAAATTAAAACGGGGACAATAATTATTGATCTATGTAAAAGATAATCAAAATGACATGGCTGAGTTGGGAAAAGTCAGGCCTTGAATTTTTTTTAAAAATAGTAACATAATAATAGAAAATCAGATATATCTAAAACCTTCTTCCGGTTTGAGTTCGTTCGACAACAGACAGAAATCTGCGATTGTGCGCGGTTTCGGTCCGGGCTTGCCGCTGGAGCGCCCCAAGCCGGCTGGTTTCGGAGCTAAGCCACCCTGTAGAGTTGGTGAAGAGGGGGGAGACTGCCAGCAGGGTTGAGGAGAGCCGCATCTCTCCTCCTCAGCTGGCCATTACTCCCTTTCCCGAAGGCGGTTGCAGCAGCGGTGGTCAGAAATGGCCACCTCAAAGAAGAACTTGACCGGAAAAGAATGTGCAGGAGGAAGATAAGAAATGAAAGTTTTGGCTGACCGGGTTAAATTGCAAAAGCAACAACTAAGGTACCCTGGAATTTAAACTTACAAAAAAATAACCATTCCCAAAGAAGAGTTGAAAGCAGTGAAGGAAAGTGAAAAGGGAAAGGTTTGGTTTTTTTCTTCTTCTTCTCTCCCTTTCCCTACACTGACAACTAAGAGACTTAAATAAGAAATCGGAAAAATCCGCTTTGACATCAACAGGCAATTAAGCTGAAAATAAATACAAAATGTCAAAGGGATAATAAAGATTTCTGGACACTAATTTTTTTCCCCATAAGCAGGAAAGGAGAGAAAAAGAATAAAAGGGCAGGATCTGGAAAGAGGGAGGAGACTGCCTGGAATTAAAAATAATCTACAGTAAAACTTCAACAAGACTTCTAAAAGATACATTTTAACTGAAACTTTGTAACTAAACAGTAGAACCCCAGGAAGAGAAAGTGAAAAAAAAGAGCAAAAAGAAACAGCTTGCGTGTATTTGGATTACTTGGTGATCTTTGGATTCTTGGTTATTGCATTTGAATGACTAAAATTAATCGCGTGGTTGTTTAAAAATTTATACAATGGCACTACTTCTGGATGAATTGAAAATGGAACTTAAAAAGTATAAAGAAGATGCACAAGAAGGGAGGGGTTCTTTTGGCTTCGTTTTTCAATTCTTAGAAATGGAGATTTGGAACTATGAGAAACAACAAGAAATGCCTGCAAAACAAGAAGACTGGAAAAAAGAAGAAGCCATCTTTAATGAACAAGTAATTCTATGTGGGGAAGAAAAAGGAAAGGGGGGAAAGAGAATGGAGAATTTAAGACTTAAAAAAACAACCAAAGAAAAGAAAAATAATTCAAAAAATAAGTATAATACTGGAAAGCAACAGAAGAGGGGAATACAGAAGAGAGAAATAGACGTAGAGAGACAAGGGGGTAAAAAGGGGAAAGAGAAGAAGAGAGGGAAGAAGGAAAGGAAAAGAAGTTACAAAGGACCGGAACAAGATATAGAGAAACAGGACCTATTTAGAGATAATGGGTGAAAATCTAACTGAAAAAGGGATTCTGTTAAGGTACATAAGATTGTATTGTTATATTAGTAATAGAAATAACTTTAGAAAATTGGAAACAATGTATGATTAAAATGAGGGATAAAATAGTGTAATTTAGTGAAATGTTTGTTAATAAAATAAGTGAAATAAAATGAGAAAATTGAATTAGGAAGGGACGGGAACATTTTAATTAGTTAATGTTTTATAAAATATAAGTGAGGGGGGGAATTAATTATGGAAAGCTTATAATTGTTCCCATAGAAGCATGATATTTAATTGAAAAGTAATGTTAAAGAAGTTAAGATTTTAATGAATATTAATATTAATGATAGAATTGAATTGGAATGGAATGTGTTGTTTTAATTACATATATTTATACTTTTTTCTTTTTTTAAGAATATAGTGTGTATTTTAAGAATGTACCAAGCAGAATCCGAATGGAAGTTATGTATTATATTGAATGTTATAACTTTAGGGTATATATTGAAGCCTAAATAAGAGTTAAATGGATAAACTTAAAAGATATAAAGGCGTCATACTCCAATCAGTAACTACAGGAGAAACTTTGTTTAATGAGAAAAGATAATAGATAATTGAAACAGGACAGACAAAAAATATAAATATAATGATTTGAATTGAGACGAGATAATTAAAATAAAATTGAGAAAATTAAAAGAGGGGAGAAGCTATGCAGAAAATGTAAAACAGTAATAAGATATGGAATAGAACATAGAAATGAGCATGAAATTGAATTTGTGTCTGTACGAAGAAATGTAACCCGGGATTACACTATTTTCAAAAAAGATGTTTTATTTGTATTATTTTTTTTTTGTGAAAACTCAAATAAAATTTTAAAAAAAAAGATATATCTAAAACTTTTAGATATGTCTAAGACATGAAACCTTCTCCCTTACTTCCATCAGACTAAGAGCGGCCATTAAAAACAACCTTAATATAGTGACTGGTTTATAGAGTCCTTGAAGCACGCCAGCTAGCATTAAGAAGTGTTTAAAGATTAGAAAGATCTCTGCAATAACCCAGAAGACAAATTTATTCTATTATCATGATTGTGTCGCTGATTTTATGTCATATCGTCTTATCACCTAATATAAGAAACTTACCAACTGTGCTATTTTGCATCCTGTTTGAACTACAGTATATGCCCAAACACTATAATCTTCATGTCACATATGAGAAAACTTGAAATCATGTACAGCTGGCTCTTGCTATATAAAGCAGACTGCATTTATGTTCTTAAGTCTTTCCTTTTCTGCCTAAATGCCAAGAGGCTGCTCTTCCCCTTTTCCAACCTGGTTAGCTCTGAAATCCTCATCCATCAGCCTTTCCACTAAGCTTAGAATAGCAGCTCACACTACCAATTATTTCAGAAAACTGAACTGAAATGCCAGAAACTCCAGGAACCAAGTTTTGATAAAAGGGCTTTGTCTCCCTACCGTGCCATCTGCAGAGGTTGGCACTGATGATCACTAAAACTCAACTAGAACATTAGGAAAGAAATGGAACATTTGCAACGCATATTACAAAAGGCACACTTAAAAAAAGATTCAGGACCCCATCTTACTGGGACAGAACTTTTTGCTATAGAAATAGATTTCCAGGACTGAATTAGTTAGGGAAGAAGAAATCGGTTCAGATGTGTGTTAAAATGCTCCAGCTGAGAGATTCTTCCAAAATGCTCCTATTTTTCAGCCACATTTCTGGCATCAATTCAGAGAATTCTCAATAGCAGGGTTTGGGTGTTTTTTCTTTTTCATTTTCCACAGCACTGGTACATCTTCTGTCTTGTTAGGGGCAGGGGACAGAAGAAAAAGCTCTCTCCTTACTGATTCAAAACTCTACTTTCACAGAACTATGGACTAGTGCAGGGGTCTCCAACCTTGGCCACTTTAAGCCTGGTGGTCTTCAACTCCCACCAGGCTTAAAGTGGCCAAGGTTGGAGGCCCCTGCACTAGTGTAAGTGCAGGTAAGTCCTCGACTTATAACAATTCATTTAGTGACCAAAGTTACAATGACACTGAAAAAAGTGACACAATCATTTTTCACATTTAAGACAGTTGCAGCATCCCATGGTCACATGATCAAAATTCAGATGCTTGGCAACTGGTTCATAATTATGACAGCTGCAGTGGGGTGATGTGATCAGCTTTTGTGACCTCTTGATAAGCAAAATCAATGGGAAATCCAGATTCTCTTAACAACCATGTTACTAACTTAACAAATGCAATGATTCATTTAACAACTATGGCAAGAAAAGTCGTAAAATGGGACAAACTCACTTAACAAATGTTTTACTTAGCAACATAAATTTTGGACTCAATTGTAGTCGTAACTCGAGGACTACCTGTATCAGCTCTACCCTTTATGCCATGATTATCTTCATCAGAAAACGTTCCTGTATTGGTGCCTTGTTTTGTGTAGCATGTTGAAAGCGTGTAAAACCAGCCAATGTCACAAAGTCATTTTGACCATTCCTACACATATAATTCAATGAAACTTTCCTCACAGTGTTCAAATAGAACAATGTACAGCGAAGGCTGGTAACCATGTTGCTATTACTGAACGCCTATTGATGCATAATTCAATTTTATGTCGTGCTGATGGTCAGTTCAATTATAGGTAGTCCTTGACTTACAACCATTCATTTAGCAACTGTTGAAGTTACTAAACTGTTAAAAGTTACCAGGGCATCGAAATAAATGACTTATGACTGGACCTTGCAATTACAACTGTCATAGCATCCTCACAGTCATGTGATCAAAATTTGGCCGCTTGGCAACCAGCATGTATTTTCAACAACTGCAACATTCTAGGGTCATGTGATTGCCACTTGTGATCTTCCCAGCCAGCTTCACTGGGGGAAGCTGCATTCACTTAAGTACTACATGATTTATTTAACTACTGCAGTGATTCAACCATGGCAAAAAAGATCCTAAAATTGGGTGCAACGCACTTAACAATCACAATCTCTTGGGGAAAAAAATTGTGGTCCGAATTGTGTCTGTAAGCCAAGCACTACTTGTAAAATGATGAGATTCATGTCATGATAATCACAACACAAATTCAAATAATTTTTTGAACTTTCATCCCAATACAAGTACATCAATACCAGTACAATAATTATATTATTAGTATCACAACACAGGTTTTGTCATTTCCTGTCCCATCAGTGACCTATTCTAGTCTTATTTTATGCATGAAAGCTAGCTGGTTGACTTTGGGCCAGTACCTCTCTCTCAGCCCAATCCACCTCACAGGGTTGCTGTTGTGGACAAAGTAAGGAGGTGGAAGGAATTCTAGGAATACTTTATGATAAAAATTGCAAAGGCAGGAAATAAATGAATAAAAAGCAGTGATAACCACTAGCTTTGGAGCTCTCAATGTGTTGCAACCATAGAATTACTTTTAGTTTATGCATTTCACATGCATACCCTACTGTTTCCTTCCCTGGAGAAAGCTGAACATACATAGGACTTCCAGGTTGAAGAGAATCAGTCCTGCTGCTACAAGGCAGCTGATAACAAAACAAGTTCTTTAAACACACAGATTCTCTCTCTACATAGTGGAGAATCCATTCTCTTAAGCCAGCAAATGTATTATAGCTTCCCCATTATACAAATGGACCAAACTACAAGAACAAATTAAACTTAATAATTTTAATGTACCAATTGCTCATTATTTATTGTTAAAAATGTATAATAATTCAATAAAACAAACTCACCTCTGCAACTTCTTTCTGAAAGGTCAGGGTCATCCGTATCCTACCATAACTAAAAGGCCCATCTCGATTAGATATATTCTCAAGCCACTGGATTATTAGTGGAGTTGAGACACTGAAAGGGAGGTTTCCAATAATATGTATAGCTGGAGGATCTATACAAGACAAAAGGCAAAGCACAAATATATTTGCTTGACCATAAGCCTTAATCAGAATCAAAGATCAATATATTAACTTCTATTAATTAATAAACACTACTTTCAATATATATTCCAATATAATATGATGGATTTTTTTTAAATTATTAGATCATTCTCAGGTTCCAAATTTTTTATTAATTTATATCATACCTGTTACATAAGTATCATAAGCAGGAAGGTAGAAACTCTCCTAACAACTTTTAGATTTATTTAAAAGGCATAATACTGAATCTTGTGCAGATCTGACCAACATATCTATGACTGAATGGAATTTTCAACATCCTTAACGTTAGGGCAGTAAAACAGATAGTGAAAAAGAACGTCTGCGCTGCCTTATTTGCAAGGACAGAGATTTTGGTCATATGGGATCCCTGTCATTTCTCTCCCAAGGCATTAACTGAAAGCTTTCCAACATTAGTTCTCTTCTCAAACTGAATTTTCCTTCAAATAGGTCTTCTGACCTATTTGAAAATTTAAGAGTTGCATTTTTTGTTAACCTAAGCTGGGAAAATTAACTTTTGAAAAAAAAATAAAAATCCTGTATTTAGGTTTTGACCTCATGTTTGGCATTTATCCTATCCAAATGTGCAGTCTCTGCATCAATAGCTTAAAAGGCTTTAACAGAAACTCAGTTAATTGCTGCTGTAGGCACACCTTATGAAGGTAATATTCAGGCATCTCTTTTGAGTTTCAGTAAGCAACTGATGACTTCTTGATAAGTGTCCTAGACCAGGGGTGTCAAACTGGTGGCCTGCGGGCCAGATGCATCAAATGCAGGCCACACCCACCCCGGTTCTGCAAAGGCAAAAATGTCCTGATACATCACGTCACGTGACATGATCGAGTTTGACACCCATGTCTAGATCTATAAATAGCATTTGTTCTAATCTCAGAAAACAAGCAGATATGCTACTTAGGCATCCCAGAATGAATGTTAAAACATGACTGAATAGTATTAGTTGCTAGTGAAATTCATTGCTCAGATTTGTGATCTACAGAATACTTGGTATGAAACATTAGAATTTATTAACTTGATAACACCAGTCACTTGTCTTGCACTAATGTGCCCTTAGCTCTGCTTTGGGAAAAATGTATTTATCACAGGGATCATTACAGGTTACTGGCAAAATTAAGAAATAGAACATACAAATTAAGTTCCAGACTTATCACTATATTGCTATAGTAATCTCACACAGTGAATTCATTTTAATAAATATTCTGAATATTTGTATTTGTAGCATACTGACCATCTTCCCAGTTCTTTGAAAGATGTTTAGGAAAAGCTTCATTGAATGTATATGTTAAAATATCCTCATTGAGAATACGGACTTTTCCTGGAGCTGCTTCAGACAGCAACTGAGATTTTTGAAAAAAGAAAAATATATTAAAAAGCTATTTAATTATATTTGAAATAACTAACAATTGAAAAATTTTAAGCATCTATAATGCAAGAACTTGTACATTTGAGATTCTATTTGTTATACCAAATATCACCAAATGTGCCAAAAGGAGAGCTAAATAAATGCTAACCTGCACAAATACAAAGAGTATACAAAGGTAACAATATTACAATTATTAATTTTAAGTTTAAAATTATTTGTTTCCTATAAAAACTGAAGCAGAATTGACTTAAGTGATTCTAAATTCAAACTTGTTTCTATCATTTTAAGCCTGTTTATCACTTTCTGGCAGGCAATTTTAAGTAATTCCCCTCACTGATGAACAGCTCTAAATATTTCGTTTACTTTAGAGCAGGGGTGTCAAACTCACGTCATCACGGTGGTGTCATGTGATGTGTCATGACTTTTCCCCCCTTTGCCAAACCAGGCATGGGGGTGGCCAGTGCATGATGCATCCGACCCACGGGCCACAAGTTTGACAGCCCTGCTTTAGAGAAACAGAAATATTTTGAAACAATATGGGAGATGACTTGAGGGACAATAAGGATGCAGAAATCAATACAACGGTTGAATTATAATGTGCTATCAACTGAATTACAAACAGTTCAATGTAGATTTTTATATAGTAGAAATTAGGAATTAGTTCAACTAGGTATAACAATTGACTATTCTGATTGGGGAAAATTGGTATTTTGTCTAATGTCTCTAGAGAACCTTATTTGGAGAAGTCTGATTTCCACAAGTCACATTCTGAATGAACATTGATTTTTTATATTAATTTTTCTCTATCTCAGAGATTCATAATCTGTGTGATGATTCAGGGTGGGGATACAAAATAAACAGTCACAAAAACCCGGTGAAGCCCCTTTTATTCCTTCACTTTGCTTCCAAGCTCCAAATATCCTTGACGGAAGACAAAAAACTCCCACACAAGCAGTTACAAGGACAGAACACACACTGGAAAGGATGCCAAACTCAGAGAGGAACTATAAATTAGAGATATTTCCATGCTTTGTTTCCAGCATTCGCCCGTATGCATGTCTGTCCTCTTATTCAGTTATCACAACTGCAGCCCATGAAGAGGATCAAAGCCCTCTCCTCTGGATTAGACCACATCTCTCCCTTATCCTCTCCTCCCTGCGTGCCCTAGGATGGATAGGGGATGGGCCTGGGTCCTCCTCTGACTGCCCAGCCAGCCTCTGCCCTTCCCTAGCCTCCTCTACAACCTCCAGAGCCACACTTCCACTCCGTCAGCTGTTCCTCCTCTCCCTCAGAGTCAGTCTCCACCAGGGGCATGACAGTCTGTTTCTCCCTCTCCTAAAACCTTGCTTTATTATTTACTTCAGACATCACCAGTTTCTTAATCATGATCCAGGCTTCAGGAGTGTGCATCATGTAGATTGATCTTTCTTTCCCACCCTCTATCTTTGTAATTTACTTTTGATTTTTTTTGGAAAATAAGAGTTAATGTTGACTCAGTAACCGTCATTTCACATCTGCCATGATATCCAAATCAGGAACAATTATGTTTACATATAAACAAGATTACCTTTGTCCATCTGTCTGTCTATCTTATATAACCACCCATGTTACACAAAGTGGTTCTGAGCAGCATACAATAAAATCAACAGTTAAAACCCATTTAAAACCATTATTATAAAAACTGGATGATAAAAGGGAAAGTATCAATATTATACAAGATGAGCTGATGAATGAGCTCGTTGGCAGGGGATCCCAAGTCTTGCTGAAAAAGCCATTTAAAGAGATTCCCAAAAGATCACAAGGGTCATGACCAACCTCACTAATATATACTAGTGTAACTAGTTATTAAAATGCAGTACAATTTAACCTGTAAAAAGGTAATTATCAACAGTACCATTTTGGAAAATATTTGGGTACCTTGAGTCCTGGAATAAAACGAGAATCTTTCTCAATTAATAACAATTCTGCAGCACCAGAATTTAAGATGGATCTACTGATTCCTCCTGGCCCAGGGCCTACTTCACACACGTAAACATCCTTCAGATTACCAGCAGTCCTTACTATCTTATCTGCAAAAAAGAACATACAGTAGTGAGTTTTGATTTCACAAGCAGAGAACACTTAAAGTAAATGACACTATCACTTCAAAATAATCATTCATCATTCCATCATTAAGTCAAGTAAACTGGACAGATAAATGTACAGTACAGCAGAGCTAGTGAAAATTATGATAATTTACATTTTACTTGGTCTTCAGATTATAAATTTACTATGGTAATATTAGAACTGTACACATGGTTTTTGCACTCCAAAAATTAGTTTATTCTTTTAAGTTCAGCACTGATACATTAAAAGATAAACGTGGTATGTATGCCCTCCCACAGTTTGCATTTTTTGTCATATTAACAATGTGGTGGGTTTTTTTGCTGCTTATTTGAGACAATCAAGTGGATTAATTCAGATAAACTGGAATAACAAAATAAAGCAGATAACTTACTTCTATGGGTACTCTTTAAATATTCATATTCAAAGGGAAAAAACTTAAGGTAGTTATTAAGAACAAAAACATAAACTTTTATTTCATATCCAAAATCTGGATGGAAAGTCAATTCTAGGAAAGGGATTAGAAAGAAGAAACAAGCAAATGTAAAAGAGCGTCATTTTGCAGGTACAAATCATGTGATGGTCGTACGTTCATTTTTGCAGTCAATAAAATTTAAATCCAAAAAAGGGGGGGAAAAACCAAAAGTGGGGAGATTGATAGATAAAAACCCATATTCTGTAGTGAGCTGTGGGATTTAATGCACATTTTCTACACCATCTAATTCGCTATTTCCACCTTAGGAGAGTACTGCCACTTTGCCAACTGGAAAAACATTCAATCAACTTGAGATTAAAAAGACAGGTATATCAGTTTCTACCGACCCGGTGCTTCCCAAACGGTTGGACTACAACTCCCATCGTCCCCCGCCCAGGATAGGAAAGATGGAAAGGGTATTCCGGCACATCTAAGAGAGCCCCAAATAAATAAGTTGGTGGGAAAAGTATATATGTTGGCGAAACATTTTTCTCAGGTCAGCAAAGCAGCCATTGCCCTTCCAAAGATGAACCACCGTAACACCGAGGAGGCCAGAAACGCCGCGAACGGCCAACCTGTGAGGCGCAGATCCAACAGAAAGTTCTGGGACAGTTGCTTCGAGGCTTTCAGTTTAAACAATTTGATGATCTCTCCAATGGTAGGAAGGACCGGCAGGCGGAAAATAGCCACCTTCCCCGAGGCCGCCATTTGCCAAGCTTTTTAGCCTCCCCTCAGACACCCAGAACGCCCTCGCGCGGAGCGAAAGCATTGTGGGCCGGCTGACTACAAAGAGCGCCTGCTCAACCGACGGCGCAGGCGGCCTTCGTAGCCTCCAATGCTTCCCCCCCCCCCGGAGAGTCAGACAGAGCCCCTCCCCTTTGCTTACGTAGGCTTAACAATTAGGGGGGGGGGGAAGCTTAGTGGCGCGTAACTTTCGAGTCCCTGGGAAAACCCCGAGCGCGTGCGTATTAGGAATTAAAATAGAAGGAATGAGAAAGGTTGCTTTGAGATCAGCGGGAATGAGTAACAGTTGCAGAAGATACCAATATTCACCCGAGACGTTGCAATTAAAAGCATAAACTGTTCCCCAAATTCAGGGAATAGATTTAAAGCAATGGAAAGGAGTATGATGCTTTCCCCACCATTTCGGTAGGAAGCATTATGTGGAAATAATTTTGATTATTTTATAATATAGCATACAAAGAAAATACAAAAACAAATAGTAGGGAAGTTAGGGAAGGGAAAAGGGAAGAGAAAAGTAGTAGGAAGAAAAAAAAAGTATCGACTTCCAATTCCCTTTGGTGCAGTAGAATAAGGCATTAACATCAAACCTCAACTTTTTTACTTTTATATAATAGTATATAAACTAGGTAGGAAGCATTAGATGCGAATTCCTACATTTTCAGGGAGAAAGAAGCAAAGGCTCGTTGTCCAGCAAAGGTTAGATTTAGACTTAGAATAACTTTATTGTCACTTTAATTGTACACTAATCGGCATACATTAAAATGAAATTTCGTTGCATACAGCTCTCAAAGGGTCTCCTAATACACACTATATAAACATGGCAAAATAGATAGACAGATACAAAATTATGCATATACCCATATATATTATATGACACGGAGAAAACAGTCTAGTTTGGAAGTATACATGTACAGGGTGAGAGAAACAAAATTTGTGAGTTTATCAGACAGATGGTATAGGGAACAAAGCTGTTACAGAATCTGGTAGTCCTTTGCTGTTAATTATAAAAAAACCAATACAGTAACCTTTTGTCATTAGGAAGGATTTGTCCTTGAAAATATTCAAAACTTGGTGAATTCGAGAGCTGGTTTGCCTGGACTAGAAACTGGGAAACGAATCCTGTCTCACTTAGATATGAAAACTTGGTTGGGTGATTTGGGGCTGGATGTTTCTTATTCAGTTCAACCCAGATCATCGGATGCTTGTATGGAAATAGGAAGAAGCATTATGTATGCCACTTAGAGCTATATAAATAAAGGGGGGTTATAAATCTAGTAATTATTCATGATTGCTAACCTTTACTTTTATTTATTCATTGGCAACAGCTATGAGGATTAAACCAGTTTTTCAGTTGTTAAATTTAATATACTTGGGATGGAAAGTAATAAAATCTATTAAAAACATATCAAAGAATAAAGTACACAACATAATTTGGAGAATTACATACAATATTATATTTTGGGAGCCTGGAGCACTTAGCCAAAGGACCAACCTGATAACATGTTCATGGGCCATCTTTATTGCAATGAGATAATATCAGGTGATTCTCCTTTTTTGACAAAAATCATGCCATGTGACCTTTCAGATACTTGGAACTGGGGACTGCACAACATAAACTGATCCAATAATTAACTTGTATGTGATAATATTACTTTGTACAGTACATGTATATTTATGTGTTGGGCATGCAGGAGTTAAAATATGCATTTCCCAAGGAGCAGTATTCAGCTTATTCTCTCCTTTCATTCTTAATAACTGCTTTTGGTATACTTACATTACTAAGAGCAAATAGGACAGTTGCTGAAGACATGGTGTGTAATGCCTCTAAAATTAATCTAAATATTTATTTTAAACAGCATAAAATATGGACAAAAATAAGTCACATATGAGAGATAGGTGGGTATATAAATTTACCGATTATATATATTAAGGAGCAGGTGGCAATTGTAGATAGGAGGGCCTTTGCTCAATTTCATGTTGTGTACTAGCTGCATTGGGAAGCCCTTTTCTCAGTCCCTGATAATTTGCTCTTCTCCCATATGGACTATTGCAATGTGCTGTACATGGGGTTACTCTTAAAGAGTATCCAGAAGCTGCAGCTGGTCCGGAATGAAGCTGTGAAACAGATGGGATGCAAATATTTTTACTACCGGTTCTGTGGGTGTGGCTAGGTGGGAGTGGCTAGGTGGGCATGGCCATGTGACTGGGTGGGCGTGACTTATTTTTTGCAGCACCCCCCCCCCACGCTCATTTTTTTTTTGCCTCCTGAGCCTCAGGGAAGCCTCCTGGGGGGGCAATTTTGCTCCCAGGAGGCTTCCCTGAGGCCCAGGAAAGCAAAAGGAGTGTGGGGGAGGGGGCGCACAGCACCCCCACACACACACACACTCCGTTCTTTGGCCTCCTGAGCCTCAGGGAAGCTGGGAGGGCTTTTTTTTGCTCCCAGGAGGCTTCCCTGGGGCCCAGGAGGCCAAAAACACCACCCGTGCAGCACTACCACCACCCCATGCACCCCTTTTTGCCTCCTGGGCCTCAGGGAAGCCTCCTGGGCGAAGCAGTAAGACAGCAAGGGGGATCCTGGCACAGCTGATTATCAGAACAGCTGATCGTTGGGAGGGAAAAAAAGAAATATCTTAAGGAGTGACTGGGTGGGGGAGAATGCAGTCAGTGATGTCAGGAATGTGTGCGATGTCGCACATGAGCGATAAGGACTGACTGGGAGGAGAAGGGAGGGGCTAGCCAGGGGCATGATTTGCCGGTTCTCTGAACTGCGCAGAATTGTAACAACTGGTTCTATAGAACTGGTCCGACCAGTTTTGGAACTTTGAAGACGATATATGTGACACCTCCGGTGCATGAGTTGCATTGGGTGGTAGTTTGCTTTCAGGTCCAATTCAAGGTGTTGGTTGAGACCAGGTTACCCGAGGAATTGTCCAAATTACATCGATCCATCCCACTCGGTCAGGCGGTCAGGCAGGGAGTATATATTACGGATCCTAATGGGGTCTAAGAAAAGAGCCTCTTCTCTAATTGCCACCTGCCCTGTGGAACATCTTGGCCTTAGAACTGAGGTTGTCCCTATTTTTCTGACCTTTTGGAAAATATGAAGAGCTGGCTTTGCCAACTAGCATGAGGATTGAAGATTGGCACACAACCACAGGGATGGTTGGTGTTTTGAAAGTGCTTCCTCTGCCTTTTAAACTTGTATTTTAACTTTGTTCTTGTTTTATTCTTCACTCTCTTTATAATTCTGTTTCTAATTATATGTCTGTTATATAGTTTCATCATTTGTATCTGTAAACTGCCCAAAATCACTTGAATAGTGAAATGGGCAGTGTCTAAATTTAATAAATAAAACAATTTATTAGATAGATAGATAGATAGATAGATAGATAGATAGATAGATAGATAGATAGATAGATAGATAGATGATAGATAGATAGATAATGTTTAATTTTCTAGTATTTAAATCAGCGAAGTACAAATGAACTGTTAACCTTAGCCAAATCACTTCTTTTGAATATTTTAATGATACCAGGCCCTTCTATGAAACTTCTGGATTCAGTAAAATTCCTCATCACTCTTTATTGAAATTATGACAGATAAATATCATGATTTATATAATAATATTCTAACATTTTAGATTTAGAAATGTATGAGAATGACAAGTTAATGGTGATTCACATATTTTTATCTTTTGGTTCAGACAAGTTTGATCAATTGAGGGGTAGAATTTTTCATACTGTACATAAGTCCATCTAATTAATTTCAAGGTTACCCAGGTCAGAAAGCTGCTGTTACACCCTGGCTTTTTTGACTTTGAAACATGGCAAATATTTATTTCATAGATTTATATCCCATCTTTTTTCAGTTTTACCTAAGAACAACAGCCCAGTGAGGTAGATTAAGCTGGTAGATTCATCCAAACCAACCCACAAGGGGAGGGGGGAGGGGAAAAGGCAAGGGTAATCTTGCACCTTTGCACATCTCGAATCCCATTTGGATTTGTCAAAAATCAACATTTGTCCCGCTAAATTACCCTAAGCTCCTGAAGAAAAGAGTAGGATATGATCATCATTACATATGCAACTTTACACTTTGGAATCAATTAAGGTAGAGCAGGATTTAGCAGAACATGATTTTTAGAATGTGCCCTTGAATTAGATATTTTAGGCAGGCAGGCTTAAATAACAAAATAATTAATCTCTCTTGTGAAGATAAACATGAAAGAGAAAGGCAAGCCTGAACATAGAGTTTGCAATCCAATAATTAATGGGATCTCTTGATCTTTTATTCCTTGTCATACTTTGAATCTAACAGTTGCTGTCAGTACATAAAAATGAAAACATCTCTGTTGCTGCAGCTTTATCTTTTTACCTGCTCACCTTGATCTTTGGGGAACTAGTTTTTTTTTAAAAAAAAGTCTGGCCTCCTCTGTATTACATGAACAAAGTATGTTTGCATAAGTGCTTTGTAATTTTGGTTTTTTTTTTAAATGATAGTGTTAATTATCGACAAAGTCAAGGGAGAAAGAAAATAGAATACAATATACATAATGGTTCATACTGCAGGCCTAAACATTTTAGTGCTTAACGTTTTAGATTAGATCGTATGTACATTCGAGATTAAGTGCTGGGTAACTTCCCTTGTTTTATTACCACACTTAATTTAAGGTACAAATGGCTGGAGATAATCAATTTCACAAATTAGCACTTCAGGTGCCAAACATTTTGGAGCTCAAATGTATGTACCTTCTTTGGACATTTTTAAGGGTTGCTCATCAAAGGCCCTGCTGGCAAGACAAGTGATTTTGGCAGACCATGTGGGTCAAACAATTCAGCACAGCAGAAAAGTCAGTTCCTCTCTCTACATTTCAGGTTTTCTTTATGATTTTGCCTGTTTTTCATTGTCACTCTTGCTGTTCGCTTGAGTGTACGCAAATGAAAAAGCAGTGCATTGTGGTAACAGAATGTGCTTAATGAAAGAATAATACAAACAGTTCGAAGTATCAGAGTACAGAAATCAAGGACTCATTGAAGCAGATTCAGGATGCTATCCTTTTTTGTCTCTTGCAGGCAAACACACACACACACACACA